AGAAAGCTGAAGTAAGATCATAAGCACAGTCTTGAGTTCACTTAGCAATCACTTCACTTAACCAAGTTGCCAGTCCCAAGTTGCCAGCCACTAAACAAGGACTATCTATATTATGGGAAATCATTATCTATTCCTATTTTATGGCTATTTTTGGAGGCCTCGTTATGATTCTTTCAGGAAAGGTCCAGTTCTTTATATGTTTCTGCTAACGTAGATGCTTATGTGCAAAAGTGTTACAGCATATTTATCCCAGGATAACTGTCATGGGTGTACCAAGATATTTCCATATGCAAACATCTTCCTTTGCTTTAAGTGGGGTAAGAGAGAAAACTATAGCCAAATGCAGAGTTGCCATTTTAAATGCTTGGATGGCATGAAGCTATAACCATCATCTCTGGTCAGCCATGTTGGTTGACAGTAATAAGTATGGTAGTTGATAACATTCAAGAATCCCAGACTGGAAGAGACAAATCACTATTGCATGTGTGCATACGTGTTGCATACACATAGGTATGTGTGGGTTGCACAATGACCCATGATGCTTGTTATAGGACAAGGGGTGTTGCAAGTCTTTTTCTCTAAGAAATGTTAAAACATGTGGTAAATTAAATCTACTCCTAAATATTGACTGTGTTCATAGAATACACTTAATATGGCCTGTTAAAGACTTTGCTAGCTGCTTTCACATGACAAGAACGTTACTGTAAAGGGCTTGGCACGTGGGACAAATGACTGTTCAATGTATAGTGTGGAACAGAAAATGGGTTAATTCAGCAACTGCGCGAGTCATATAAGAACCTAAACATATCATGAATTCAGAATGAGAAGTGATCTTAAACGCTTCTTTGTATTTAATGTGCAGTTTATGTATAAAAAAAACACCCCGAAGTAACAAACAAGAATTGGGGGGGAGTCACAATGACAAGAGAATTATAAAAGTCAGGGGTTTTTTAAACCTGGCCCTTTTTAAAGCATTAACTCAACCAGCGTGCCTGGCTGAGGAATTCTGGGAGTTGAAGTCCATAAGTCATAAAAGGGCCAAGTTTGAAGACCCCTGGGTTACCTGCGGCCTGTATATTTAATAATAAATAACAATAAAAAGGGAAAGGGGAATGTCACCATTTCTTCCCATGCTGTCTTCCTGAGGGGGAAAAAATGGCTCTGATCCTAGTTACTGTGCTGGGAGTTCCCTTCCCCCAAATTACAACATTCAGAGGATTCATACCCATTTTTCTTGTCTTTGGCAACATTCAGGACAGGAGCTGCGGCCTGTTCATTTTGAGGGAGCGACTGGACCAACGTTGCCACAGGGATTCATAATTAAGGAGGATAAATTTTCTCTCCTTTCTAGCCTAATTTCACTTGCGGGTCACTGGCTGTGCTGCTGCAACAGCAGGAATTGCGGATAATAATAATAATAATAATAATAATAATAATAATAATAATAATAATAATAATAATAATAATAATAATAATAATAATAATAATAATAATAATAATAATAATAATATAATAAAAGTTGGAAGGAGCCTTGGAGGTCATCAAGTCCAACCCCCTGCTCAGGCAGGAAACCCTACACCATTTCGGACAAATGGCTGTCCAGTTTCTTCTTAAAAACTTCCAGTGTTGGAGTATTCACCGCTTCTGGAGGCAGATTGTTCCACTGGTTAATAGTTGTAACTGTCAGGAAGTTTCTCCTTAGTTCTAGGTTGCTTCTCTCCTTGGTCAGTTTCCACTCGTTGCTTCTTGTCCTGCCTTCAGGCACTTTGGAAAATAGCTTGACTCCCTCTTCTCTGTGGCAGCCCCCGAGATATTGGAACACTTCTATCATGTCCCCCCTCGTCCTTCTCTTCATTAAACTAGATATACCCAACTCCAGCAACCGTTCATTGTATGTAGGATTAACCTGTCTACAAGATACCAGATTCTAATCTAAGTTTAACTGAATCTAAACATGAAGTTAAATCTGTCTTCATGGATGGGTCTATTGTAAAGAACAACTTATGACCACGATTGGGGCCAAAATTTCCATTGCTAACAGGACCCCAGGATGCTGCACTGTCATAAATACGAATCAGTTGCCAAGCACCTGGATTTTGGTGATGTGACAATGGAAAGGTATGACAGTTGTAAATTTGAGAGCGGATTGTAAGTCACTTTTTCAGTGCCTTCATAACCTCAAACAGTTGCTAAACAAATGGTTGTAAACTGAGAACTGACTTCCTACAGTAGACTCATCTTTGAAGTCATGTTCATTTGATTCTTTGGTGAGTTTTCTTCTATGTTTGCCATCCTTACGTCTCCCTTTGCCCCCTGGTTGGTCCAAATGATGCCCATTACAGACTACCCTCGACTTACGACCATAAGGGAGCTCAAAATTTACGTTGTTAAGTGAGACATTTGTTAAATGAATTTTGCCCCATTTTACAACCTTTCTTGCCCCAATTGCTAAGTGAATCATTGCAGTTGTTAAGTAGTCACCCAGTTGTTCAGTGAATCTGGCTTCTCCATTGACTTTGCTTGTCAGAAGGTTGCAAAAGTTGATCCCGTGACACTGCAACCGTCATAAATATGAGTCAGTGGCCAAGCATCTGAATTTTGATCACGTAACTGTGGGGATGCTGCAATGGTTGTAAGCAGGGCTTTTTTTCTCATAGAACGCCCAGAATGGAGTTCCAGCACCTTTTTTGGATGGAACCTTGTAGGGTAGGCAAGGCGGGTTGTATGACGTGTGTGAGTTCCAGCACTTTTTTTTTTTTATTTTAGAAAAACACTGGTTGTAAGTGTGAAAAACGGTCATAAGTCACTTTTTTCAGTGCCGTTGAAACTTTGAACGGTCACTAAACAAACTGTTGTAAGCCGAAGACTACCCAAAAACACCCCTTAGGGGAGAAACCCAGGAACCCCAAAGTATTACAGCTAAAATATGAAAATATAGTTGTGCCCGAAGGAACCCTTTGAATCTAGCCTACAATGGCGAGGGCAACATCCTGTGGCCAAATAAATGCCTTTGAGATAGTCAAGAGAAGAAGGGCAGGGCAGAGCTGCTAAACACGAAGGCAACTTTTACCTCCCTTGACTAATAAGATTTTCGGTGTACTTACCTTCCTCGGCACCATATACTCTGCTTTATGTTTCCTCCCTGGCAGGCTTGGCATAGGTGACAAGCCTTGCGGCACTGACAAGTCCTGTGGCAGGGCCACAAGACTAACACCCCTTGGTCTTGTGGCATTGAGAGCCACACGTCCTTCTATTCCTCACGGGACAGAGATTCCTGCTCTTTTCCTACCAAAACCGATGGTTCTTATCATCGGCGGGAACTACTCTCCTCTCCCTGGCTGAAGGCTTCTGTTCTCTATCCATTCAGATCTATTTTTAAACCCAGCCTCCAGGGGCCAGGAACGATTCACTTACAGCATTGCTGCGGTACAGGCCTTCTCCTGTCCCTGCAGCTAGGCTCCCCGTCAGCCTTCCAAATCTACTTAGCCCCAGCTTCCTACCATCGGAGCCCACAAGGGGCAAAAAGGCACAACTCTCACTCATCTTCTTCCCAAATACGTGTTACAACATCCCACAGTACAAACTACCCAACACCTTGTGTGAATCCAACTGGTGAGACTTTGGGATAGCATATATAGATCTCTGCAACCCAAATAAAACCTTCTATTAAGCTATTGGGATAATAATTTGTCCGAGTTGGGTAGGTTGGCAAAATGAACAAACCATAAATGCCAGAGATAATTTCCATGCTTAATTTCTGACAAATGTGCAAGCTGACATTCATGAGGTTCTATTCATGGGCACTGAAGGCAACAGCGTTTAAACATGAATATTGGAGGGGCAACAACGCTTACACATGAAGCAAAAAAAAAAAAGCAAAGGGCAACACCGTATTGGCGTTTTGAAGTTTTGACTACCGGAAATTCTATTTGTCTCTGATTTCTGGGCTTCTCACAAAAGCTAACCTATGTTTTGAAACTTTTAATCATGAGGGATAGAAACATGTATTTTTCTATGAAGGAATTTCAGGATTTTGCCAAAGTTATTGAACATGCCTTCAGGAACTAAGTTCAGAACTTTACGTGGAACTCTTTATAGATCACATTCTAAAAAAACCTGCATATGTTAACATATCAGACTGAACTTAAACAACGTAGACTTGAAATTTGTAAGAAAGCAAAGAAGCCCTGACTGTAGTTAGATCTTCGTTAGTTAAAAAAAACAATTCTTCTTGTTAGGGACAAGATGGAAACTGTGATATTTGATTTATCCCAGCCCTACGATTCAAGTGCGTGACATTTTACCTGTATAAAACAGCTGTACAAAATGGAAAACATGAATGCCTGCAATGATATTCACGACAGGCAACTAATGGAAAGAAAACATCTAAATCTCAAATACTCAAGAGAACGTAAATACACACAAACTGGCCGCTGCCAACATTAAGACAACATGGGTAGCTGCCCGCTCGCTCTGCCGTACAAATGGAAGATGAACAGTGTTTTGAAAAAAAGTACACGGAAGTGAACAAATGTATAATAAGCGCAGAAGAGAGCGACAGTAAATGTTGTGCACGCACACAAAAATGCCAAAGAAAAGAAACTCTTGGTTGATGTGCAGCACTCACGACCCTGGTTGCACCCCACTGGACAGTAAGCAGGCTATATAATAGTGTCACACCCCAACTTGGGCGCGTTCCCCAATCATGAAATGTACTGAGCGTTTAAAGACCCGCTTGCACACCGTGTTCCACATCCCACACACCCAGTGGGATATTCACGAGACACTTTCGTACAAAAACACCCTGATCGCAGTTTTCACGGTCTTCCCGCGGGTTTCCCAGCTGAAAAGCGTAGCTCTCCATCATTTCCCGCCGCCCCCCCCCCCCGCCAAGGAAGGTTGAGTTGAGATCTAGCCAACCCTCCTGCGACGGGGCTAGCGGATCGGGGTGTCGGGGCTTCTCTTTCCTTCCTCCCTTCCGCGGCCACTTCCGCACTCACCTGCAGGATACGGTGAGCTCCACCTTGGTGGCTGGCACTCGGGAGGGAGCGGACTCCAGGGCTCCCGGAGACGCCATCTCCGCCGCCAGCCTCCCGAAGCGCTAGGGGGAACGCCGGGCGCCCTCCATGGGGGGGTGGGAAGGCGGCAGGAGACTCCTTCGGTCGCCGCTCCGGCTTCTCGCTCGGTCTAGCCGCGTCCGCTCCCGCGCCAGGTGGCAGCACGTGTTGCGTATTGGGGGGGGGGAGGAGGAGGAGGAGGAGGACCCAGTGGCGGGCGGGGCCACGACTCTCCCGCCTTTTCCTTCCTTCCTTCCTTCCGCCTCGGCCCCGCCCACCGCCGCGCCCAGGAGCTGTCCGAGGTGCTGAACCCATCGGCGGCGGCTTGCCGGAGAGTCCTTGCCTGGAGGAAGGGCGGCCCCTCCTCAAAGCGGCGTCCTCGCCCTTGCAGCTCCGCCTCCAAGAGAAGGAAGTGGGGGGGGGAGGCGGCAGGGGCNAGTGAGGGGGGGGAGGCGGCAGGGGCAGGAGACCCTCCTTTCCCCCCCCTACCCCTTCTTTCTTGGTTGCCCCTACTCCCGGGCCAATTTGAAAGGTCCGCCCTTGTTCATCAGAGATGCCCGGCGAGGCTACTACCAGCAAAGGGGAAGGCGGAGGAGTATAGCCCAGCGCAGCTATTCCAATCAAAAGTGCTGCTTTATATATAGTAATACATCGTACGGTTATTGCAAGCTTTTTCTCCCAAATTTCAACCAAATGCCAGGGCAGCTCAACGCTTAGAAGCACAAAAAAAAAAAAAAAGCATTTACATTTTACTTTCCCCCCTTTTAAATGTGAGACCTTATACTCAAGGCGGGGGGGGGGGGAAGCACTCTTATCTAGGCTAAGCGGGAGGTGGGAGCAGGGACCTTGCGAGTGGAAGGAAGTCCACCCTGGCCGAGGGGTTCGAGCTAGCTCGGATTCGGGTTTTTTTTGGGGGGGGGGGGCGACTGAGATAAACTTGGGGAGAGACTTTGTGGCTGCTGCTCCGGTGTCCTAGAAGCAGAGCGTTGGCTGAGTTTTGGAAACCGAGTTTCTCTCTCTGCCTGATAACTGCAATTCTCGTTTGTTCGGAAGGGCCGTCTGCCCCCTTGCCAGACTTTGCAGGCTGCCTGCTCAGCTACGATGGTTGGAACGCATTTAGGATTGTTATCTGATTTACTGCAATTCGTCTGAGGCCACGAGGGCAAGGAAGCTTATTCTCAAATATGCTGAGGAGTGCACCCTTGAACGCCATAGCGTGCTTGCGAGGCTCTGTGCTTACTCAAAAGCAGAAGTTCAGTTTCATACTAATACAGCGGTTCTCAACCTATGGGTCGCGACCCCATTTGGGGTCGATCGACCATTTCACGGGGGTCGCCAAGCAAGGCTGTCTGCCATTTTTTCCCCCTTTTCCGGCGGGTGCCTTACCTCCCTTGGGCTGGGCCAGCTGGTGGTCGGCCTGCTCCGTCTCTGCCGCTTGCCAGCTACGCCTCGGCCGGCGCAGGGGGCGGAACCACGCATGCGCGGTGCTCCCGGGCAGGGAAAGTCCTCGACTTACAACCGGTTTAGTCCTCGACTTACGACCGGTTTAGTCCTCGACTTACGACCGGTTGGGGGTCACGGCATTAAAAAGGTTGAGAACCACTGTACTAATAGGTCCAAATCATGAATTGAATGTTGGTTCTTGATTCCCTTGAGTGTCACAGCGGTACATCAACAAATGAAAAATAACATGCTTGATACAGAGTCAGCATTTTGCCACAGCCCCTTTAACGAACCCCTGCCAAGCTTTTTTTTCCTTTCCTTTCCGAAGGTCCCAATTCTGCTGTGGGCAATTAGCTTCCATTAAAGAGGAGAAAGGCGCGTGCAATTCTCCTGCAATAAAACTCATGCGATTCTTCTTCAAATCAAGATATCAAGGAAGTAATTCCAGCTTTTAGCATGATGTTTGATTTCTTTTTTTTTCTTTTTTTAACAGCTTAAACATCGTGCTGCTTTTGCTCAATCACCTCATATCAAAGTTTAAGGGGAAACATAACGTAGAAAATTCCTGCCATTAATAGGCTTCATTACTGACGCTATATAAATCAGAGGAAGGGAAAGACTGATTGGGTCATCAGTAAAGAATGTGACCTGATTTCATCAGAGGCTCATCTTATTCTCATGAAGAACACGGCAGCAGCTTTGTCAGCCTGCACCTGGTGCTCTCCCATGAATCTCATTCTGCGTGATCTATGGCAGGGGGCTTTGGGCATTGCAGTCCAAAAGCTCTTGAGGGCCCAAAACTGTCTATGGGTAGAGATACTTATCAGTCATCTAATCCAGCTCTCTCAGATGTGTTGGACTTCAAACTCCGTAATTCCCCGCCAGCACGGTAAGGGAACTGCAATCCTGCACCTCTGAAATGTAGCCAAGTATAGAGAGCTATTCCAATCAAAAGTGCTGCTTTATATAGTAATACATCATACGGTTATTGCAAGCTCTTTCTCCAAAATTTCAACCAAATGCCAGGGCAGCTCAATGCTTAGAAGCAAAAAAAAAAAAGGAAAAAAAAGCATTTACATTTTACTTTCCCCCCTTTTAAATGTGAGACCTTATACTCAAGGCGGGGGGGAAAAAAGCACTCTTATCTAGGCTAGCATTAAAATATAATTGATTTCTTCAGTGGTACAGAAAAGGCACCGGAGAACATGCTTCCTGAAAAAACCTCAGCTTTCATGTGAAACAAAACAAAACAAAACAAAAAAGCATTATTTAAAAACAAATGGGTATTGCCTGCCGAGATCTCGGCAGCCGCAATAACGGCTAAATCAGATTTTCAGTGAGTGGGATGACATAGGAAGAGTTCCATTGTTACACGATTAGCAAGCCCCTAATAAATTATGCCAAATAATGAAACTGCTCAGTTAAACGAAATAGGCAAGCCTGATTCACAGGTACAGAATTATGAATGATCAAATTAATGTTTTGGGGGATGCAATCCAGATTTCTTGGGGCCAGAACTCACAGGTTACCTAGAACTGGAGAGAATTCTGCAGCTGATCTGAAGGAGAGCCCAGATGAACACCTGAACTTCCATTAACAGCTTCTTTGTTCACCCCAAAGAACTCACACTCTAAGTAGCATTTTTTTTTAAATCCCTCAGAGCCATTCCAGGCCAGACTCAGTACAGGGGGTAGGTAAAGAGCAGGGGTCTTCAAACTTGGCCCCTTTATGACCTGTGGACTTCAACTGCCTGGCTGAGGACTTCTGGGAGTTGACGTTCACAAGTCCTAAAAGGGCCAAGTTTGAAGACCCCTGGTAAAGAGGAAGCAAACATACACACAAGAGCCAGAACGAGGAGGTTTTGACACATTTTACTGGTGATTTGTCAGTGCTTGCCAAGTCCTAAAAGACTGAGGAGGGGGATCCTTTGTTTCCAGTGGAAATCAGCCCAGCTTGAAATAACACCGATTGCCACCACAGTCAGTCAGATGGACCCGGAAGAGCTGGAAGTCTGGGAGCCGTCTAGGAGACGATCTGGCAGCCAAGGGCTCTGACACAGACCAGGAGCTGGCACTTGGGGGTGGGGGGTGTCACATGGCTTTGAGGTTCCTTCACCGGTGGGATTAGACGGTAACCCCATTCGGCGTGATGGGCAGGCAGACGAAATGTCAAAGGACACTGCTCCCTCTGAGTCCTACGCCCCGAACAAATTGCTCCAGAAGGCCCCCGATGGCTCCCGATGAGCTGGGCGACGCTAATTTCAGCCCCACGGTACTGTTGTAGGCAGACAAGAACGTTGAGCGCACCTCCTGAAGACGGGATTCCCTCTCTGTCAGAGTCACCAACCTGTAAGGATATCAATAATGCTGTTTACCGTGGCCATTTTAGGAGGGTCAAAGAACTTCACACAAAATCCATACGTTGACCCTACAAGACTGTGCCACTACCCTAGATCCATTCCATGGGGCAGGTGGACGGGAGGGTCTGAGATATATTGGCTTTCTTTTGTTGTTAGTTGCGAAGTCGTGTCCAACCCATCACGACCCCATGGACAACGTTCCTCCAGGCCTTAGCTGCCCAAAGAGGTCTTAACCCCTCAATTGGGGCAGGTGGGCTCTGGGTCACAGCTCCATCTTAAACATTAGCTCACAAAATACAGGTGCAATATGGAGATACTGATGTAGCTCAGAAGACGATTAACTATTCATAGTTATTTCCCAGACCTCTTATGGGGAAGAAGAGGAATAGAATTGTCAAGATGCAGGTGGCTTCTTCCATCTTTTGTTTTATGCACTTTGATGCATAATTAAATGGGAGCTTATGACCAGGAAGATGGCCCAAAAGCAGAAGCCATTCCCCAGGAAAACTGTCCTGCTTGTGGGAGGCTTTTTTGCCTGCACTGCCACCGCTACCTACGCTGAGAGGGATTCAAAGAGAAGGGAATCGGCCTCTGCTCAGAGGCACTGAATTCCTCGCCCCTGACTTGAGCTGGTTCCCCCCCCCCCCACCAAACGCTGCTGGTTTTCACAGCTTGCCTTAGGAAGAAGCCGCACGCAAAAGGAAGGCGACACAGGAAGTGGAAGATGAAAGGTTCTTTGGATGGGCATGAGATAAGCTTGTTCTGGAAAAGTCCTTTTTTTTTAAAATAAAAAAATCACGGCTATATGAGGAGTTCAGGAGAACGTGACAGCCAACAAGGTGAACCCAGAATTGGCATGCCCTTGACCAATTATCGGCTCAGTAGGAAAAACCTCCTTTCCCCCAACCGTTCCTCTTGCTTGCAATTTGCCACGCCAGCCCCACAGGACCCACATCCCACCTGCCCTCTCCTGCTGCTGGATAAAAGAGGAAGCTCAGTCCTGGGGGGGTGGGGGAAGGTGGTGCCCCCCCCTCCCTCCAAACAAATCCGTTGCCTCTTCCTCCACCATCTCCAAAGGGCGACTCGTGCTCTGGCTGAGCTTTCATCCAAGTACTTCGGGATGGCTGGCCCGCAGCTCCAATATTAGCAACGCACAAACTCTTCTTCCCTCCGCCAGGCGCTCGAGTTGGGAGCATCCTTTTCAGAGTGGGAGAAGGAGGAGGAGGAGAAGAAGGAGAAAACCCCCGGGATTTCCAATTTTGCACCTAAGAGCATCAACCTACATTCCCTCCTTCCCCACCTCCCTGCCATTCTGTGAAAAAGTCAGGAACCACAGGAGAGGTGCTTTATGTGCGGTAAGGCCAGGCTTTCCTCTCTCGGTGGCCTGCCTCCTCTCCATCTGATCTATGTACTAATGGGGGGGGGAAGGGGGGAGAGGAGGGAAGGGGGGGGAGGAGGAAGAAAAGCAAGCAACTCATTCCAGATGAGAGGAACGCTAAGGGAGATTACAGTTCAAAGGCATCTGTTCTAAATGTCTTAATAAAAACAACAACAACAACAACGTCTTTACAGTGTTTGAAGACGCAGCTCTTCCCTCTTTCTCTCAAAAGAGAATCAGGTCTTCCTCCCAAGAGGTCATCCCAAGGGTATGGCACACACACAACCTGCCCATCAAAAATTCCCTCTCATCTCCCCAGTGTTTCACAGGCTAGAAACCGGCACTGTTAATTTGAATGGAAGCAGTAGAAAACCACCCACTGCCACCAGCTTCGCGTCCGGAAAGAGCAGCGAGAGGATACGGTGGAAGGCTTGGATTAAAAAAAAACAAAAACAGAAGTCCAAACACAAAGGCAGCCAACAAATACGGGAGTCAGGAAGGAGAGAGAGAGAAGGGGGGGAGGAGAAAGAGTGAGAGGAAAGGGATTTTATCTTCCAGCTTCCCCATCGCGACTGCAGGATTAGCAGATGGAACTCTCTGTTACAAGACGAAACAGTTCAAAACAGAGGTGGTATATCTGAGGATCTCGTGTCACAAATGCCACTATTCTAACTCAAGGACCCGCTCAGCAAGTGCGACCGAGAGGCCCAAATTCTTTGCATTGTCTTCCACTAAAACCAGAAGTGCATAAATAATACCTCTTTTGCCTAGCTATCATCTAACACTTAGAATGATTTTCTGGGTTCATAGCCTGTGTTAGGAGGATGCTGTGGCAGGAAAGTTTTGGTCCAGTTTCAGCTCATGCCCCACTGGTGAACAGGATGGATGGAAGACTCTTGGAAAAACCCCTGGAAATTTCAGCTGGCCCAAAATAGTGTGGCCCACATGCTTACTGGCCAGTCTCAAAATAACATATTATATCACTGCTGCATTGGTTGCCAGCATATCCCCAAATGGAATATACACATGCTTGGTTGCTATATGGCTTGGAGCTTGGATAAATACCAGAACACCTTGACCAAATAAATGCTGCCCACCCAAGCCAGGTGACCAGAGAGTGCCCACTAAAGGTCTCCCCCTTCCTGGGAATATGATGGAACAGTAGGAGATTCCTGTAGAGTTTTCCTTCCTAAGCAATAGCCTGTCTCTCCCAAGCTGAGAAGAGCCCATTCTTAGAGCTTTCTAGAAAATTGTAAAGGTCTTCTGAGACCTTGGGGGATTAACTGTGGTGCTACATATGGCAGACACAGTTTTATGATATTGTTTTATATGCAATCAATCAATCAGGAAGGATAGAGCTGGAAAAGACCTTAGAGGTCTTCTAATCCAGGGGTCTCCAACCCCCGGTCTGTGGACCAGCACCGGTCCGTGGCATGCCAGAAAAAGGTCCACGCAAATGAAGCCCCGTCCGCAGGATGCAGATAGTACATGAAATAGATAAGATAAGATAACCTTTATTGTCATTTTTTTACGGTGGGCACAACGGCACACATCAAAAATGAAATTTAGTTGCCCGCTCTCAAAGCGAAACACATACATGACACACACCTAAACATACTATGTACAACATGTGTATAGACCCACACCCCTACATATACGTAGCAAAAAAATATTAAATACTGTTCATCTTGAATATATAACGGAAGGAAGAAGCTTGAGAGTTCACAAGGTTAATCCACGCCTCCTCCAGTCTGTGGAAAAACCTCTCTCCAAAGAACTGGTCCCTGGTGTCCAAAAGGTTGGGGGCCACTATAATCTAGTCCAGCCCCCTCCCCCACTCAAGCAGGAGACCCTATACAATTTGAGACAAGTGGCTGTTCAGTCTTTTCTTAAAAACCCCAGTGATGAAGCACCCATAAGTTCTGAAGGCAAAGCTGTTCCACTGGTTAATTGTTCTCACTGTTAGGAAGTTTCTCCTTAATTCCAGGTTGCTTCTCTCTTTGATCAGTTTCCATCCACTGTTTCTTGTCCTGCCTTCTGGTGCTTTGGGAAATAAGTTGATCCTCTCTACTTTGTGGCAGCCCCTCAAATACTGGAATATTCTGTTATGTCACCCCTATTCCTTCTTTTCTCTGGACTAGCCATGCCCAGTTCCTGAACCATTCTTCACATGTTTTAGACCCCAGACCTTCAATCATCCTAATTGCTCTTCTCTGCACTTTTCCCAAAGTCTCAACTTTATAATACATCATATAACATATACATATAAAAAACACATCATATAATATCACCTCTCTCACACACCTACGCAGTAATATTATTGCACATTACTCTACATTATAAACTGTCTAGAATCCAATCGGATAGAGGCAGGTTATCCATTTAATCAATCAATAGAAATAAAGCTCTACCCCACCTTCAGCAGCTTTTCTTGCCCTCACCCCAGAAGAAAACCATTCCACTTATTCGCACTAAATACAGCATCTGCTTTCCAGGCACATTTCTTCCTTGGGGTGTTCTCAAAACCTCTAATAAAACTGATTTGTAATAGGACAGTCGCAGCAAAACTTTAAACGCTATTGTTTGGCTTTCGTGAGCGCCTGTCTTTTCCCTTGAAGATGCACCTAGAGCAGTGGTTCTCAACCTGTGGGTCGGGACCCCATTTGGGGTCGATCGACCATTTCACGGGGGTCGCCAAGCAAGGCTGTCCGCCATTTTTTCTCCTTTTCCGGCGGGTGCCTTACCTCCCTTGAGCTGGGCCAGCTGGTGGTCGGCCTGCTCCGTCTCTGCCGCTTGCCAGCTACGCCTCGGCCGGCGCAGGGGGCGGAACTACGCATGCGCGGCGCTCCCGGGCAGGGAAAGTCCTCGACTTACGACCGGTTGGGTAGTCCTCGACTTACGACCGGTTTAGTCCTCGACTTACGACCGGTTTAGTCCTCGACTTACGACCGGTTGGGGGTCGCGGCATTAAAAAGGTTGAGAACCACTGACCTAGAGACACATCTGTCCACCAACTGACCAACAGGTGAATTCTCTACTGAATTCATCACTCCAGATTGGTGCTGGCCAATAGGTCAGGTACTTTGTAAAAACCCTTTAGAAGGATTCATAACTTACCGAGAGCACTAATGGACCCTCCTGAACTAAACATCTCTGGAGCAGATATGGGAGTAGAACCAAAAATCCCAAAGAGGTCAATTTACAGGCAATCCTTGACTTAGGACCACAAACTTCCTTTGCTAAACAAGACAATCGTTAAGTGAGTTTGGGGCCTCATTTTACAACCTTTCTTGTCACAGCTGTTAAGTGAATCACTGCCGTTGTTAAGTCAGTAACCTGGTTGTTAAGAGGTGAATCTGGCTTCTCCGTTGACTTTGCTGGTCAGAAGGTGGCAAAATGTGGTCACATGACCCCAGGATACTGCAACTGTCATACGTACGAGTCAGTTGCCAAGCGTCTGAATTTTGATCACATAACCGTGGGGATACTGCGACCATCGTAAGTGTGAAAAATGGTCATAAGTCACTTTTTCCCGTGCCACTGTAACTTTGAACAGTCACTAAACCAACGGTTGTTAAGACGAGGACTATCTGCAATTGGAGCAACAGA